CGTTCCCAGTCGTCTTCCCCCTCACAGTACCGCGCACCGTTGGAGACGACTGAGTACGAGTCATGTGTACTTGAATTCGGTCTCAACCTCAATGATTTGGCCGTAAGCGTGGCTGATCTTAGGCTCGATTTCCCTCTTTTTCTCGAGGTCAGTCGTGGATATATCCGAGAAGTAGGAACGCGGGCTCATTTCCCTATCAGCGGCCGTTGATCGCGCCAAGGTAGGAACGTCATGTATGGGGACATACAATGTACCGAATACTATGATATCTAACTATTACTGATCATCTGTCCCTAACACTGATCATCTGTCCCTAGCATTAATCATCTGTCCCTAGCACTTATCAACCCTCCCGAGCACTGATCATCGGTCCCTAGCACTGATCATCTGTCCCTAGCGTTGATCATCTGTACCGAGCGCTGATCATCTGTCCCTACCACTGATCATCGGTCCCTAGCACTGATCATCTGTACCTAGCACTGATCATCTGTCCCTAGCGTTGATCATCTGTACCTAGCACTGATCATCTGTCCCTAGCACTGATCAACTGTCCCTAGCGTTGATCATCTGTACCTAGCGTTGATCATCTGTACCTAGCATTGATCATCTGTCCCCAGCACTGATCAACTGTCCCTAGCGTTGATCATCTGTACCTAGCATTGATCATCTGTCCCTAGCATTGATCATCTGTCCCTAGCACTGATCAACTGTCCCTAGTACTGATTGACTGTCCCTAGCACTGATCATATGTCCCTAGCACTGGTCATCTGTCCCTAGCGTTGATCATCTGTCCTTAGCATTGATCATCTGTCCCTAGCATTGATCATCTTTCCCTAGCACTGATCAACTGTCCCTAACACTGATCATATGTCCCTAGCATTCATCATCTGTCCCTAGTACTAATTGACTGTCCCTAGCATTGATCATCTGTCCCTAACATTGATCGTGTGTACCTAACATTTATCATCTGTCCCTAGTACTGATTGACTTTCGCTAGCATTGATCATCTGTCTCTAACACTGATCATTTGTCCCTAGCACTGATTATCTGTTCTTATTACTGATCATCTGTCCCTAGCATTGATCATCTGTCCCTAGTATTGATTGACTGACCCTAGCATTGATCATCTGTCTCTAGCACTTATCATCTGTCCCTAGTACTGATCATATGTCCCTAGCGTTCGTATCGTCAGCAAATAATCTTACTACCCCAAGGCTGAAGATATGAACTTGACATTCTCAGGTTGCAGTTTCCCTGTCCTGCAGAATAAAATGTCAAAGGATCTCAGGGGTATAGACTCTTGGCTTTCAGCCAACAGGCTTACCCTAAACGTTTTAAAAACTGATTTTATGGTTGTAGGATCAAGACAAAGAGTGGCGAGCCTGGAAGAGGATATTGGTCTTTGTTTGTTAGACATCGAATTGGATAAAGTCAAATCCGTTAAATGTCTTGGTGTAGACATCGATGAATATTTAACTTGGGATAGCCAAATGCTAAGTATAAGACAGAAGGTTACCCGTAGTTTGAGTGTTCTAAGAAGGGTTAAGCCTTTTCTAAAAACAGAAAACCTAATTGACATTTACAAGTCAATAATTGAGCCTTACTTTACATATTGTTGTAATGTTTGGGATAGTATAAGTGAAACACAGATTGTTAATTTGCAAAAGCTCCAAAACCGTGCAGCGCGAATAATAACTGGTGCCTCCTATTTGCAGAGATCTAGTGATGTTCTCTGTAAATTAGGTTGGATGACATTGGAAACAACGAGAAAACGTGAAAAAGCCATTTTGATGTTTAAAATACTGAATGGTCTCACTCTCCCGTACCTGTCTGAAATGTTTACCCATAGCGCCTCTTTTCATGATTATGGACTGCGATCTTCCAGAATGAATCTTGCGCTCCCTAAAAGTCGCTCAGATTTTTACCGAAACAGTTTTGCATTTACCGGAGCAAATATCTGGAATGATTTGCCAAACAGTTTAAAGGAAGAAACTTCGCTAAAAAAGTTTATGGGTAAGCTGGACTGATTACTATCAGCACCAGCGAAACTAGTTCTAAAACATTAAGCTTTCTAATAGTAAATATATAACTTGTATTGCGTACGGATTTTATGTAAACCAAATTTTAATATCGCTGTATATTTTAATTTGATAAAATGCCGTATAAAGGGTTCCATCCATCCATCCATCCATCCATCCATCCATCCATCCATCCATCTCTCCCTAACATTGATAATCTGTCACTAGTACTGATCATCTGTCCCTAGTACTGATTGACTGTCCCTAGCATTGATCATCTGTCCCTAGCACTTATCAACTGTCCCTAACACTGATCATTTGTCCCTAGCACTGATCATCTGCCCCTAGCATTTATCAATTATTGCTAACACGTTGGGGAGATTGGCCACTCTGTTGGCCACCGCACTTATCAACTGTCCCTAACACTGATCATTTGTCTCTAGCACTGATCATTTATCCCTAGCATTTATCAATTGTTGTTAACACCCTGGGGAGATTGGCCATTCTGTTGGCCACCGTGAAAGCCCTGCCATAAGATCACGTTGTTACTACTCATCAAGATTGGGCCTCTGTATATTAGCCCTAACTTATATCCAGTAATTAACCACTATGTTACTGCAATCAATTCCCCCGGTCATTTTACAACATGGTTGAAATGGTAAATTGGCCACCGTAACGATTACAAAAGCTGACGTTTCGAGCGTTAGCCCTTCGTCGGAGCGAATAGAGGAATTGTGGGTTGTGTGCGCTTTTAAAGGCAGAAAATGGAGCTACGTTATTGGTGGGAATATGGCAACGAGAAAACACGAATAAATTAGTAGAATGAAAAGCGTTCGTTGATCCCTGTGGGATTTAGACTGCCGGTTTGAAAGATGAGCTTTTGTTCAAGAGTTTTACGGCTTTCCGTGCTACTAAGTGTAAGGAAAGACCGCAGATTGCCATATGTTGCTTAGAATCATTAGGTAAATTAAAGTGTCTAGCGACTGGTTTCGATGTGTCCTTGTCATTCTTTTCCACGTCACGAAGGTGTTCTCGGAATCGGTCACCTAGTCTTCTGCTTGTTTCGCCGATGTATATCTTTTTGCAATAAGTGCAAGTTATGCAATAGATTACATTGGCGGAGGTGCACGTGAAGTGATCGGTGATCTTAATGGACCGTTTGGGTCCCGACATTTTATCAGTGTTGCGGTTGAAAGGACACGTTTTGCATCGTCCATGAGTGCATTTAAAAGTGCCTGGTTGGTCATTAGTCTTAAAAGAACTTCTGACCAGAACATTGCCTATGTTTTTGTCGCGTTTGAATGAAATGAGCGGAGGCAGCGAAAAGATAGTGCTCGTCTCTGGATCGTTTTTAAGTAATTTAAAGTTTTTAAGAATGATGGATTTGACTTAGTGGTTGTGAGTGTGAAACGTGAGAGTGAATGAAATGCGGTAGAAATCTTCCTTTTGTGACGTTTGTAGTGCTGAATGTCGATGAATAAGTTGGGCGCGGTGGTAACCCGCTTGAACGACAGATACAGGGTAACCACCTTTATCGAAAAACTGGCACATTGACTCTGATTTGTGGTGGAAATCAGAGTCATCACTACATAAACGGCGAAGTCTTAGAGACTAAGAAAAAGAAATGGAATTCTTAATGTGAGGCATTTATAATACAAGGCATTTATACAGTCTATCTTTCAGTACCGTAGTGCTGTATGGCATTATTGTGGAGCACAGAATTCTAATAAGCTAGAGATAGTAAATAAGCGAGTGCTTCGCCTAGTCCTCGGAGACAGATGAAGTTCGTATTCAGCTTTACTGAACAGGCTTGATATGGTATCACTAAAAGATAAAAGAGTCCAGGACATATTAACTATGGTTTACAAAGGCCTTTACAACATGGCTCCTTGGTATATCACATCACTTCTCAAATAGCGCAGTCAAAGTGCATATGATTTAAGGGGCAAGAGGAAATTACAGATACCTGCGATGAAGACCACCACTTTTGGACTTTACTCTTTCAGGTATCTTGCTGCCTCTGCATGGAGTAGCTTATCAGATGATTAAGAATGTCAGACACTCTACCAGCTTTTAAACGAGCCATTAGGAGTTATATATCTAGTGGGGATTAGTATGTAATTATTAGCATTTTTATATGAGGTTTTATATGAGTCTTTGGATTTTAAACCTATTGTCATTTGGTGGTAGTTATATGTTCGGAGATACTAGCGCATCTAGTGCTACTCACAAATCCGAATGGAAATAAAGTTTATGGATGTATGTATGGTATGAATACATAGATGGACGCAGTGATAGATCCACCCTGGTAGAATTTGAGAAGTGGTTACGCAAGCGAGCAGAAACACTGTTTAACCCCCTTGAAGATTTCATATGCGGAGAATTGAACAAGAAACAAAGGTAACCCAAAGAAAAGCCAAATCTTAAGTTAAATTCCCTCACCACGACAACAGGAAGGTCTCCTGACGCCCCAAGCAACAACAGCGACTTGTCAGGTTCTAAACTAGTCCAAACCCAATCATATCATTGAACAAAGAGCAGGACAAAGCCCCATCCAATGGAAAGGGGTGTTTCATCTGCAAGTACAAACACCCTGTTGCCTTTTGTCCTGTCTTTAAGTCTAAGTACCTGCAAGAAAGGCAAAAAATTGCAAGGGAACATGAACTTTGTTTCAATTGTTTGAAAACGAACCACCAGGTCAAGAATTGTCCGAGTACAAAGCGTTGTCTTAAAGAACGGTGCGGGCGTCCCCACCACACCCTTTTACATGAGGATCTTCGAGTAGAGTCGCGTCCTAGCCTCACCAGCAACGAAAGTAGCTTTATCCAACCATCGGCTTCTCCAAAGGAAAATGCTCGTCACCCACAACCGGTGTCAAATTCGTTGTCCATCGTCCAGACCAACATCGACCAAGTCTGTTTTCAACCCCAGCGGAGGGTCCTCTTTCAAGTGCTCCCAGTTCGAATTCATAGTCAAGGGAAAATGGTTGACACATATGCTGTCCTTGATCCTGGAAGTGACTCAACCCTGATTAGGAAACACTTAGCTGAACGCTTACAACTTGTTGGCGAGATATATTGCCTTAATAATAATACAGTTGGCAATGAAGCTACTACTCAGAACTTAGACAGGGTAAGCTTTAGTCTTTCCTCTAAAGAACAGCGAGACCCGGCTATGGTGCATGGAGCTTGGGTCATCAACAAACTCAACATTCCATCTTTTAAGTTGTCGAAGAAAAGGACCGTCGAGCAGTGGAATCACTTATCTGACGTAGATCTTCCTGAACTCCAAGGTGGTGACGTGATGATTCTCATTGGAGCTGACATGGCTCACTTACTGATTCACCTTGAAGTCCGCCAGGGGCGACGGGATGAGCCCATCGCAGTAAAGACCCCTCTTGGATGGGCGCTGTTTGGAAATGTGAATCAAGGACACTGTGAAACGATTAGTGCAAACTTTCTCGCATCAGATAGAGAGACTATGTTGCAGCATCAAATCGAACGATTTTGGGAGATCGACTCTTACGCAACCAAGCGAGTTCTCTCTGAGTCCACCTTGTCAGTTGAAGACAAACAAGCGCTGGCCATCCTTGAAAGCAACACAGTCAAGGAGGAGGGCCACTACAAAACAGCACTGTTATGGAAATGTGAACTAGTCTTGCTTAAAAATTATGCTATGGCAGTTTCAAGACCTCATTCCACTGAGAAGAAACTAAAAAAAACCCATGCAGAGGTAGCAGAGAAATATCAGAATGTCATAAACGATTATGTCACTATAGGACACGCCCAAAGGATGACACAAGAAGAGGCCAAAGTGATAACCCCAAAAACATGGTACTTACCACATCATGTAGTTGTTAATCAAAACAAGCCTAGAAAGGTCCGTGTGTTCTTTGACGCCGCATCAAAATTTGATGGTGTTTCCTTGAATAACAAGCTTCTGATTGGTCCCGACCTGTTGAACAGTTTGGTAGGGGTCCTTATGAGATTTCGAACTGGAAGGATCGGCGTAATGGCGGACATGGAACAAATGTTTCATCAAGTGAAAGTTTGTGAAGAAGATAGAGACTCTTTGCGCTTCTTGTGGAGAGACTTAGATGAAACGAAGAGACCAAGTGATTATAAGATGACTGTTCACGTGTTTGGCGCTGTGGATTCACCGTGTTGCGCAAACTATGCGTTGCAGGGAACTGCTCGTGATCAGCAACGGAAATCCACCGAGGATGCCATCAACGCTGTTCGACGTAATTTCTATATGAATGACCTCCTAGCATCGAAGCAAAACTGTGATGAAGCCACAGGTCTGGCTAAAGATTTGATAGGAATCCTAGCAACTGGCGGGTTTCGCCTAACGAAGTGGATGTTAAACAGCCGAGAAGGGCTCACAGCAATCCCTTTGTCCGAAGTGGCGTGCGACATTATTAACTTAGATCGAAATGGATTGCCTCAGGAAAGAGCCTTAGGTGTCAAATGGTGTGCATAGCAAGATCTACTGAGTCTTGAACAAGCGAAGAGAGAATTCCCAAACACTAAGCGAGGAATATTGAGTGCCACGAGCAGCGTGTTTGATCCTCTGGGCCTTGCCGCGCCCTACGTATTAAAGGCGAAACTGATCATCCAAGAGTTGTGGAGACGCCAGATTGAGTGGGATAGCGAGCTGCCCAATGATATCCTCCAGAAGTGGCAACGTTGGAAAGAAGGTTTCAAATCCTCTCAAACGATCATGATTCCCCGGTGGTATGGCTTGCACCGCGACCGATGCCTAAATGTACAACTACACGTATTCTGCGACGCGTCAGAAATCGCTTACGGAGCAGTTGCGTATTTCCGTGCGGTGGCTCGTGGAGATGTCTATGTGAGCTTTGTTTTAAGTAAATCTAGACTTGCGTCAATCAAAGCATTGACCATTCCGCGTCTGGAGTTACAGGCTGCCGTTGTAGGCACTAGGCTGAGGTCTAAGATAGTGGAAGAAATCGACATTGAAATCGATGAAACGCATTTCTGGAGTGACTCCAGGATACTGCTTCACTACCTTAGCAACACCCAGCGGAGATTTAGCACGTGCGCGTCTCACAGAGTCGCTGAAATCGTCTCAAAATCGAACGTTAAGGAGTGGCATCACCTTCCTGGCAAAATGAATGTGGCCGATGACTGCACGAGAGAGAAGGATATTCAGGAGTTGACCCCGAAATGTCGATGGATCAGTGGTCCAGAATTTCTAATGTTGCCTGAAGCAGAGTGGCCGAGTACTAAGGAAGTGCCAATTGTGGATGAAACTGAGCTAGAATTTACGGGCTCAGTCCTTGCGGTGTCCACTACTTCATCTATAAACATGGTGCAATGGAAGAAGTACTCCTCTTGGAGAAAGCTAAGTCGGCAGTACGCTTGTTGGATGAGATACAAATTCATTCTGGGGTGTAAAATGAAGAAGATGAATCTACCTCCAGAACGTGAAACCATGTGTTTGAGCGCCGCCGATCTCGAACAAGCCTCGCTAGCCTTGTGTAAACAAGCTCAAATTGAATCGTTTAAGGACGACTACAAGGACCTGCAAGCGAACCGAGCTCTCTCGTCTAACAGTCCACTACTTCCACTGCAACCAGTCCTCGTTGATGGGAATTATCAGAGTTGGAGGTCGGCTGACTAAAGCTCCGATACCATTTGAAGCAAAACATCAAGCATTACTTTCCCCGGTACATCTTCTGTTTAGATTGTTGGTTCAAAACAACTACGAAAGACACTTCCACGTAGGAATGGAGCACACACTGGCTCTCGTGCGCTAACAGTTCTGGATCCTCCGAGGAAGGTCATTTATTAGAAGAATCATCAATGAATGTCTTCTTTGCAAGAGAAGGAGAGCTAAGCCAATCATTCCTGTGATTGCCTCTTTACCCAGAGAACGACTCGCCCTTTGCGAGCCTCCATTTATCAACACGGGTGTAGATTATTTTGGTCCAATTAGTGTCAAGAGGGGAAGAGTTACTGAGAAGAGGTGGGGATGTATCTTCACATGCCTTACTACCCATGCGGTCTACCTGGAGGTGGCAGGTGATCTGAGTACTGATTCGCTCATCATGACGTTGAGAAGGTTTCGTGGGAGAAGAGGCAACCCTGAGACAATCCGTTCAGACAACGGAACTAATTTCGTGGGAGCGAACAGAGAGTTAGGTGAGGCTTTGAAGTGGTTGAGTCAGAGGCGAATCACCGGCGAGCTGGCCCGGGAAGGGATCACTTGGTACTTCAACCCGCCGTCGTCCCCACACATGGGAGGAATATTCGAGTCAATGGTCGAGCAGGTCAAAAGAGCTATGAAGACTGTCATAAATGACCAGGTATTACCAGAGGAAACACTCCATACAGTTCTTGTCGATACAGAGGCTATTGTTAATCGTCGACCCCTTCACTCCCGTCAGTGATGACGCCAACGATTTCGAAGCGTTGACGCCAAACCATTTTCTCATTGGACGAGCCTCGCCAAACAGTCCACCTGGCCGATTTGAGGAGCGAGAAATTAATAGCCGCAAGAGATGGAGAATGGTCCAAGCACTAGCTGACATGATATGGCGGAGGTGGCGTAAAGAATGCTTACCTACCTTGACAATGCGCCCAAAATGGAATAAAGAGCGAAGGAACTTGAAGGAAGGAGATCTTATTCTAATGAAGGATGATGATGCGCCTCGGTCACATTGGCCCCTCGGACGAATTCTAAAGACATTTCCTGGGAAGGATGGTAAAGTTCGTATGGAAGAAGTGAAAACTCCTAACGGAACCCTGATGCGACCTGCCGCAAAGTTATGCGTGTTGGAGGAATCTGTTTAAAGAGAGCGATGTTCAATTCTGATCTAACTGAGAACACTTGTAGCCTTTTCATGGAAACTGTTTGTATATCTAATCTTGAACTTTCAATAAAATAGTGGCCTCTTGAAGATGATCTTGTCTTATGGGGATGAATATTAGCTTGATAAGTGAATAAGTTAGATATGTTAGAAGGTGACAAATTATTGGATGTCATGCATTATGATGACAACTGATTTAAAGTAAAGCATATCAAAAGGAAGAAAACGAGAAGGAACAAAAAACGGGATTGCATGAGATCTGTAGTCACCAAAATACATTAAGCGAAGGGCTCGTTTTTGAAGGATTAGAATTTTATCTCTATGAATTCTTGCAGCTTGACCCCACGCGACTATACCATACAACAAATAGGGTTGGATAAGTGACCTGTAAATGTGGTTTAGAGTACTAAGGGGTACAAAGTGTCTTAATCTAGAGATAACGCCGATTGATTTACTTATTTTGGATGCAATATGAGCAATATGGTGACCCCATGAAAGAGTTTCATCAATAAGCACTCCTAAGTATTTAATAAATTGCTTACGTTCTAGAGAAATATAACTGTTAGTATGATGGTCAAAGATTCTCAAATTTATTTGGTGATTCAGTTTTTTTCTGTCTAGGCCGAAAAATAACAAAGTTAGATTTTTTTATATTCAGTGATAACTTGTTAGCGATTAATCGATTAGAGCTATTAGATATATCGTTTATATAAATGAGGAAAAGTAGGGGTCCTAACACCGACCCCTGTGGAACTCCTGATAAGATTACTTCCTTTTTGGATATATTTTTAACACCAATTTGTGTTGTTTGTTGTCGACCTACTAGGTAAGAAGCAAACCACTTGTTCACTATTCCACGTGTTCCGTAACGATTCAGCTTTTGCAATAATGTTGAATGGTCGTCAGTTTTGGGTATCATGTTTATTTGCCATTCTGTTTTGAACTTTGTCTAAAAACGTTATGCGCTCTAAAACGACCGCGAGTCACTGGTTTGTCTGGTTGTTTGTAACGTTTGTGAGACCCGCAAAGCACATACACCACATCAACTAATCATTACAATGGTCGCATATTCGTAGCGGTTTGACCCTTGTAATGGCTGATCCTGATCCCAACCCATTCTTATGATAGCAGTCGGGTTGAAATTCAG